AATTTTTCGGGGGTTGTTTAAGGGCATTCGCGGGCGCAGTTGGTGATGGAATAGTCACGGAATCAGTCCTCCACACTGTAATGTAAAGGAACACTGTGGTATAAAGGGGACTGCATTGTAAAGGGCCACTGTATTGATTACAGTGCAAATTTACAGCACAGTTCCCTTTACATCACAGTGTCCCTTTACATTACTGTGCCCCTAAAGATCTAATCACAGTGCCCCCTATATATTCACAGAGATTGCCCATTCCAGCTAAGAGACATCCCTATATATCAAAGAGACAGCCCAGTCCAGCAAAAAGACATCCCCACATAGCAAAGAGACATCCCCATCCAGCAAAGAGACATCCCCATCTACAAAGAGATGGGATGTCTCTTTGCTGGACAGGGATGCCTCTTTGCTGGATGGGGATGTCCCTGCTTGGAATGGGCTGTCTCTTTGCTAGATTGGGATGTGTCTTTGCTGGACCCAATTGAGCAAAGAGACAGCCGAATCCAGCAAAGAGACATCCCATCCAACAAAGAGACATCTCCATTCAGCGAAGAGACAACCCCATCCAGAAAAGAGACATCCCCATAAAGCAAATAGACTTCCCATGCAGCAAAGAGACATCCCATCCAGCAAAGAGATAGCCCATCCAGCAAAGACACAGCTCATCCAGCAAAGAGACAGCACATCCAGCAAAGAGACAGCCCATCCAGCAAGGGGACAGCTCAACCAGTAAAGAGACAGCCCATTCAGAAAACAGACAGCTCGTCCAGCAAAGGGACAGCTCAACCAGTAAAGAGACAGCCCATCCAGCAAAAAGACAGCCCATCCAGCAAAGAGACAGCTCAACCGGTAAAGAGACATCCCATCGAGCAAAGAGACAGCCCATTAAGCAAAGAGAGAGCCCAACCAATAAAGAGACAGCTCAACCAGCAAAGAGACAACCCATCCAGCAAAGAGACAGCCCATCCAGCAAAGAGGCAGCTCAATCTGTAAAGAGACAACCCATCCAGCAAAGAGACAGCCCAACCAGTAAAGGGACAGCCCATCCAGTAAAGAGACAGCCCAACTGTAAAGAGACAGCCTGTCCAGCAAGGAGAGAGGCCAACCAGTAAAGCAACAGCTCAACCAGTAAAGAGACAGCCATCCAGCAAAGAGACAGTCTGTCCAGGAAAGAGACAGTCCATCGAGCAAAGAGAGAGCCCAACCAATAAAGGGACAGCTCAACCAGCAAAGAGAAAGCCCGTCTAGCAAAGAGACAGCCCATCCAGCAACGAGACAGCCCATCCAGCAAAGAGACAGCCCATCCAGCAAAGAGACAGCTCAACCAGTAAAGAGACATTCCATCGAGCAAACAGACAGCCCATCCATCCAGCAAAGGGACAGCTCAACCAGTAAAGAGACATCTCAACCAGTAAAGAGACAACTCAACCAGTAAAGAGACAGCCTGTCCAGCAAAGAAATAGCCTGTCCAACAAAGAAACAGCTTGTCCAAAAAAGAGACAGCCCATCCAGCAAAGAGACAGCCCATCCAGCAAAGAGACAGCTCAACCAGTAAAGAGACAGCACATCTAGCAAAGAGACAGCCGGTCCAGCAAAGAGACAGCTCAACCGGTAAAAAGACATCCCATCCAGCAAAGAGACAGCCCAACCAGTAAAGAGGCAGCCTGTCCAGCAAAGAGAGAGCCCAACCAGTAAAGCGACAGCTCAACCAGTAAAAAAGACAGTTGTCCAGCAAAGAGACAGTCTGTCAAGGAAAGAAACAGCCCATCGAGGAAAGAGAGGGCCCAACCAATAAAGAGACAGCTCAACCAGCAAAGAGACAGTCTGTCTAGCAAAGAGACAGCCCATTCAGCAAAGAGACAGTCCATTCAGCAAAGAGACAGCCCGTTCAGTGAAGAGACAGCTCAACCAGTAAAGAGACAGCCTGTACGGGAAAGAGACAGCCCAACCTGTAAAGAGACAGCCCGTCCACCACTGCTACAGAGCTGTCACAGTCTGCTGGCCAGTGAAGGAGAGAGGCAGCCATTGTACCTTCAATGAAGCTGTGTGTGCAGCGGCTGGCCAGGGAGGTGTCTGTGTGTCCTCGGCGGTGCTTCCTGCTTGCCACTGGAGCTGTCTCTGCTGCTTCTCCTGTCAGTCCTGTTTTAGGCATAGCCGCATAGCGAGAGTTGAGCGGTGGCCATGGTCTGTGCTAGCCCTGTCCATACCATGGTCACTACTTACCTCCTGCTGTGCGGCCCAGTCATCAACAGTCCGCTCTTCTTAACCACTTCCAGACCGGACACTTTCACCCCCTTCCTGACCAGGGCAATTTTCAGCTTTTAGCGCTATCACACTTTGAATGACAATTGCGCGGTCATGCAACACTGTACCCAAATTAATTTTTTACCATTTTTTTGAGACAGATAAAGTTTTATTTTGGTGGTATTTATTCACCACTGGGATTTGTATTTTTTTTGCTATGTAAATGAAATGTCCAAAAATTTTGAAAAAAAGTGTTTTTTTTTATAAAATTTTGCAAATAAATAATATTTCATCATAAATCTTAGCCAAAATTTATTCTGTTATCTTTTTAGTAAAAAAAAAAATCCAAATTAATTTATAACCAAAAATTATAATTTTTAAACATTTTTTTTACATTTTTATTTAATTTTTTTATATTATTATTTTTTATTTATTTATTTATTTTTTACATACTATCACCCTAGCAGTACAGTGTCACCATGGTGACACTGTACTACTTGTGGGGGGTGATGAAGATTTTTTTTTTTTTCTTTTACACTGATTGCTTTTACACCCATATAGGATAGCAATCATTTCTCTTTCTCTCTGTGTGCATTCTTCCAGTCATTGAGAAGTACTGAGTGAGCTGTGATTGGTCACAGCTTGTCACATGGTACAAGGCTTTTGTAAATAGCCTTGTACCATGTGACCTCTGTGATCATTCACAGATTTCCCACGTAGTAAGCAATGATGTCAGAAGTGACATCCTACTTACTACTTTGCATGTGATCACTGATTGGCCAATCAGTGATCACATGATCGGGACCTCGTACAGAGGTCCCGTCCGACGATCGGTGTTTCACTGTGTCCGGAGGACACAGCGGGCACCGGATCGCGGTGCTGTGCGCTCCCAGGGAGTGCGCACAAGCAGGGTGTGGGGAGGCCGTTTATAAACGGCCACCCGACCCTGCAGTGCCACCGTCCGGCCGTTTATACGCAACGGCCGGTCGGGAAGTGGTTAAGCCCGGCAGCCCTATGGCCAGTCCAGGCCAGCTTGCGCTTGTGAAATTTATGATCACTGTGACTGCCAATCACAGTGCTCACATGATCGGAATACCCACTTTCACCTACATACCCTCTGAAAGGGCCAGGTGAAGGCAGCAGGAAGGGGTTAAAGTCAAACTCTGGGCACAAGAAAAAATTACCCTTGCAGTGGACATCCCACAAGGCAAGGGTTAAATGCTCATTTTTGCACAAGGGTATTCTCAAGGGTATTCACTGTATTCTTCTCTCCAGCAGGGTTCATCCAGCATTGTGATCAATCCTATCAAACATCCTTTCTAAGGTGTTCTCATTGTGGTTGCACTCCTGCCCCCTCCATGAACAATGCAGGCTTAATAGACATTGCTGATACTGAACAGCCTACAAACCAGAGTGCCAGAAGGAGTGGAGGACAGTACCAATGTTGTCTGGAGTGGGGGGTAAGGTAAGTAATGCATCCTTATCCTCTCCCCAAGATGTATTGAGTATTTGACCCTGGCAGTGCAAGGGGTTCCCACTCCGAAGGTTTTTTTATTCCATCCCAGAGTTGAGTTTTAACCCTCCAATACAATAGTTAAACTGTAAAAAAAATGTTTGAACAAAAGACCCAGTTAATCTTAGTGACATAGGGGGGTTATTTACTAAAGCTGGAGTATGCAAAATCTGGCTCACTTCTGCATAAAAACCAATCAGCTTCCATTTTTTTTTATTGCCAAAGCCTAATTGAACAAGCTGAGGTTAGAAGCTGATTGGCTACTATGTACAGCTACACCAGATTCTGAGTGAACCAGCTTTAGTAAATCTACCCCTTAGTGACAACTTTCTGTATGTTCACATTTACAGACCCATCAAATTAAAGTCCACAAACAACACATAGTCATATACAGTATGTATGACCCTTCAGTGTGAAGCCAGCATCCCATGGATAATTACTTCAGTAAACATAATTGAATACGTTTCAGTGGCTGACATAAACTGAATCAAATCTGAGAAGAAGCCCTAATCCATATTGTTTACCACTCTCCCCATTTAAAATACAGTACATTTGCATGTAGATGAATCCCTATGTTAATTTTACCTGACACAGCACAGAAAATTAAATTAGAACCTGCAATATAGAACCTCTGGCTTGAAATATTACAGAACACCTACACTATCCAGAAAATAACATTAGTTCATTCCCTATATTTACTGTAAATGCAAAATTATGCAAACAGTGTATACATACATGTTGCTAATTTAAAAATAGAAATGCCAGATCTTGTGCTTATATACTTAATTTTAGAGATACTATATGGTTAGTACTTATTATAGTAATATTAGTAATATTATAGGTACTATGTGGTTATTACTTATAATATTATAGGTGCCATAGAGGAGATTTACTAAAACTGGAGCATGTAAAATCTGGTGTAGCTCTGTATAGAAACCAATCAACTTCCAGGTTTTACTGTCAAAGCTTAATTGAACAAGATGAAGCTTGAAGCTGATTGGCTACCATGCACATCTGCACCAGATTCTCAGTGCTCCGGTTTTAGTAAATTACACTCTATATTGTTAGTACTTCTAATATTATAATTACTGTGTGATTAGTGCTCCTAATATTATAGGTACTATATGGTTAGTACTTATTATAGGTACAAGATGGTTAGTATTTAGAATATTATAGGTTTTAGTGTATATGGTTAGTACTTATAATATTATATGTACTAAACCATTAGTACTTATAATACTATAGGTACCAGGGGTGGACTGACCATTTGGAAACTCGGGCACTGCCGGGGGCCCGGGGTCAGTAGGGGGCCCCATGAGATGCCTCTGGTACCTTTTTCATAGGCTTTTTTGAGTTTGCACAAGGATACAGAGGCCCCATGATCCCCTATTGCCCGGGGGCCCCATGAGTTGTCAGTCCGCCCCTGATAGGTACTATATGGTTAGTACTTATAATTTTTTCAGATACTATGTGGGTAGAACTTATAATATTATAGGTACTATATGGTTAGAACTTGCAATATTATAGGTACTACAGTATATGGTTAGTATTTATAATATTATAGGTATTATATGGTTGGTACTTACAATATTACAGATACTATCTGGTTAGAACTTATAATATTACAGATACTATATGGTTAGAATTTATAATATTACAGATACTATATGGTTAGAATTTATAATATTATAGGTACTATATGGTTAGAACTTGCAATATTATAGGTACTACAGTATATGGTTAGTATTTATAATATATAGGTACTATATGGTTGGTACTTATATTATTGAAGGTACTATATGGTTACTACTTATAATATTATAGTTTTTTTATTTGCTTGGTACATACAATATTATAGGTACTATATGCTTGGTACTTATAATATTATAGGTGCTATATGGTTAGTACCTTTAATATTACAGGTACTGCATGCTTTGTACTTATAACATTATAGATACTGTATGGTTAGTATTTATAATATTACAGATACTATATGGTTAGAACTTATAATATTACAGATACTATATGGTTAGAACTTATAATATTATAGGTACTATATGGTTAGTACTTATAATATTACATATACTATATGGTTAGAACTTGCAATATTATAGGTACTACAATATATGGTGCAATATGGTTAGTACTTATAATATTATAGATACTATATGGTTGATACTTATAATACTATAGATACTATATGGTTTAATACTTATAATATTATAGATACTATATGGTTGATACTTATAATACTATAGATACTATATGGGTTGATACTTATAATATTATAGATACTATATGGTTGATACTTATAATATTATAGATATTATATGGTTGATACTTATAATACCATAGATACTGTATGGTTAGTACTTATAATATTATAAGTGCTATATGGTTAGTACATGGTTAGTAACAAGCTAACTCAGTTATAGCACCTCAACTTTATCATCCAAACAGGGAAGGATAATTCATTTAAAAGAAATTTATAGCACCAGCAGTAATTAAACCATAATTACAGTAATGTGTCATTTTTTTTATACTTCCACTTATGCATTTCTTTATTTCATGCCTGGAGGGGGGAATATCGATGTTCACATGTGATAGTTAGGGCATCAAAGAGCAGACACGTTTTTTTGCTTTCCTGTTTAAGCATACAAAACATTGTATTGATCACGTTCAGCTTGTGTTAACATAACCCTGTTTTCCATGTCTTAAAAGAAAAAAAAAAATCCGGAAGTAGAGATTACAGCTGCTTTGTACTTTTCCAGCGATTGAAGAGTGTCATCCGAAATTATTCAGCATTCTGCTGTGCTGTTAAATTGGGCTATTCTATACGAGCGAGCAGTTTTTGTTTTTGTTTTAATGTCAGACAAGCATCAGCCGAAGGCTCAGTAAGACCACCACATTCATTTCACTGCAATGGAGAATCAGTCTCTGGGGTCACGGAAAGTGTGTTAATCTACTTTATCTGCTAGCTTAGAGAAAATTGCATATTTAAGCCTCTTGTTATGAAGCCGCTACATCAGTCTCTAATTAATGTGTTCGACACGCTGTGTGAGGCTGTTGTACCTTCACAAACACTGTGTGCATCGCTACTGTATCCCTCTCAGTAGCATCAGCTTCAGCATCAGCAGCAGCAGCAGCTCCATCAGCAGCACACGGAGGCAGCAGCACATTGGTTAACACTGTACATAACCTCCTTGCAAATTGCACAGCTTCGGCAGCAACACATCCATTAGTCTGGAAAAGACAGCGTTCCCAAGTGGCTCCAGTGCATTTTTCCCCCCAATTCTCCTGTCACCAGCCAATCCTCTGTATGCTTTCCCTGCATGTAGGGAGTGTTCAGCACTAATCAGGTCAATGATCATCCCAAGTCTCAGGGGACCTGACAGGAGCCCATCGCCCTAGTTAGAAGCTCGCCCTGTCCAGGGCATAGTGGCTGGAGATTTTCTCTACTGTGGTACAATACTACTCTACAAGAGAAGCTCTCAGGATTTCGAAAGGCGAAGGAAATCGCAGAGGCACTACAAGCAGTTTCTCAAGCTGCTGGGTGTTGGTTTGCCTGTTCAGCTGTTTGGTGCTTGAGCTGTAGGGAACGAAAGCATCTCAATTAAGGTAAGTGATCCTTTATCTGGGTGAATGAATTCCTTCCAAGTCTGTGTGTTGAAACTTCTGAGCTAACTGCCGTTCTGCACTGCAGCAAATCAGCCTTCTATCTCCGTCAATACAAAAAGCTTTTATTTCTCCCTTTACTATTTTCCCTGATAGTAGGCTGTCAATTTTCCAGAGTGAACTGTTTTCTGTTTGACCTTTTCATGTGGCTGGTGTGCCAGCTGAAAGGCTGCGAGCTCTGGAGGAGAGTACAGAAATTGAGCTCTATTATTTAAAGGAAAATGCTAAGCCTGATTTTCATGGATGTAGAAGTGCTGGGAAAAAAAATGTTTGCAAGAACAGTCTGTGCTGAATGTCTTTTTGCTACTTTTGGAATAAAACTTCTCTTTGCAGTTTAAAGGTGTCATGTCTTAAAGGGAGCCAGCGCAACTGGAGTTCAAATGGTTAACATTGTAAATCATAATAGGTAGGGAGGTAATATATTGTTCTTCTGACAACAAAAAAGACCTCATAATATAAGCCTCTCAAGGGTTTTAAACACAGTAATGATGAAAAAAAATGAAATTTGATTCTAGCCTAGTGAATATCCAGTATAGAAAACAACCTATTAATGTCAACATTCTACTCTGTTTCCATCTCTCTCTTAGAACATTCTTATTTATAGAATAGTTCACTGTCTTAATAGGTCTATAGTACCTAAGGGACAGAAGAGAAGTAGTAGAATGTCTGCCTATTGCAGATAAGACATTTAAAATGCTGGGATGAGTTACGAAGACAACAGCCTGTAAGCTTTTCTATACATCTGAGTGCTTTCATCAGTGTTACAGTGAATTACTAGGAAAAATGGATCAATCATTTCTGGGTTATTTCAAAGCACATATACTATTTTTCTTTTTTTTGCTATCAAATCTTCATCTCTTGTAAGGTGATATAAATATGATGAATGAAGTGTTAAATCAGAAAGCCACATCAAGTTAGCAACCAGGTATTTTACCCTGTCACTCTAAATTTCAACTTAGCGGATCAAATTCAAGGACTCTTTTGCCAAGCTAAGGTCACCTCTTGAAGTTAACAAGAGTCCATTGTCCACTTGTGCTGGAGTGTTCGTATTTTCTCAGGCAAGGTGAAAAGTGTCTAGGATGAGGAGTTTTGATTGCACACTTGTTTGGAAGGATGGCTATTTTTATGCAAAGTCAGAGATTGAAGAATGAATACATATTCTGTGAATTGCCATTTGCATACCGCTTGATATTCTTTGTCATAGGCTGAACAATTTTACCTTCTCATAAAATGTATTATGTTGAGACTGTGGCAGGATAGCAGATTGTGTGAACGCTGGCAATTTACTGGCATTGCCTCCTGCACGTTAAGTTTAATTGGTAAAATGTCTGTGGATGGATATTTATTGCTTTGGCAGTGTCATATTGTCAAGGAATGTATAATGTACAGTTATTTGAGTGCCTTACATTATCTTAAATATTACAGCACTTCTTGTTTTTAGCATTATTATTTGCAGAAAAACTTCATAATGCAAGGTTAGGGAATGTACCTTCAGTGCTTCAAGCCCATCTATACATCTGGTCCTAAGTATAAGGTATGATAGATGAATGTATTCAATCATAGCATAGTGCATCCCCTTACTTCCAGCACTCACTGCTGAAGTTTTATATGTACCTTGCCACGCATATGTAGCCCATGTAATGGCAGCAAATTATATGCTGCTATCTTTCTATAGAGATGTGATTTTTGATGGGTTTGGTAGAATGCAGGCTTGATGGATTTGGTAGAGTGCAGAAATAACAGCTGATAAGTTCTTTTGTGGCCTAATTTACTGTGTCGGTTTATGTATGGCAGATTGCAAATTCATCTGAAAGAACAGATTTGCATCTATACAAGGTATTTTTAGAAGTGTTGCATGAAGAAGTTATTTGCATGATCAACCACCATGGATTACATTCATTAAAAAAATCATGTTATAATGCTTGTATGTGCATAAAAGTATTGCAATGTAAAGGAAAAGTATTATTTTCTTGTAAGGTAAATTTAAAGTATAGTGAGATGATGATGTGACAGCTTGTTTAATTTTTAATATTAACATCGTGTGACATTTACTAAGAACATGTATTACATATTTGTGTTATTATTAGAGGTAGCTCTGTCAATTTATGCAGTGCTTTACGTATACATTGTACATTCCCATGAGTCCCTGCCCTCAAGGAGCTTACAATCTAAGGACCCTAACTCATGTCCATATATACACATATGAGGGACAATTTAGACAGGAGCCAATTAATCTACCAGCATATCTTTGTAGTGTGGGAGTAAACCAGAGTACCTGGAGGAACCCACACAGGCAGAACCCACACAGGCAGAACATGCAAACTTCAGGCAAGTAGTGTTGTGGTTGGGACTCAAACCAACGACCCTAGTGCTGCCAGGCAGAAGTGCTAACCACTTAGCCATTGTGCTGCCCATACAGGAAACATGACTGGTGTACAAAAAAGTAGAGTGTGGTCCTATGAAATATACAAGTAATAGGCAAAAGACATTTCATCTAGCATTTTCTTGTAAGACAATATCTTCATAAGTTCATTTATGGAATGTGGTAGAAGGCAGGGGCGGACTGACCATTCAAGCACTCGGGCACTGCCTGAGGGCTCGGGGTCAGTAGGGGGTCCCATGAAATGCCCCTGGTACCTTTTATAGGCTTTTTTGGGTGTGCTTTGAGTGTGGGCAAGGACACAGGGGCCCCATGATTCCTTATTGCCCAGGGGCCCCATGAGTTGTCAGTCCGCCCTTGGTAGAAGGAAAACCCAAATCCAGAACTTAGTATTGTTATCTTGTACAGCTCCTACCCAGAAACAAACCCATGGCCAGTCTACTGACATTCAAGTATTTACATATTTTTACAAGCAGCTAATGAACTTTTAATCAAGCACACACTAACTTCGGTCACTGCACATACTCTAAAGCAATTCATCCTCAAAGTTCAAAGTAGAAACATTGAAGCCAGTTAAGTCTTAGATATTAGATCTTAGACCTTATATTCCCCTGCAAAATTGTACTCTGTGTTAAAAATAAAAGAAGAAGGATAGAAGGCATCTGAATCACTGCTGGGGGGGAGCGAAAAGTTTATCTCCAGCACACTAGGGACCTCCAAAATGGGTCCAAAGCTTTATTCAGTGATCACATCATAATTACAAAAGCAAAGTTTCAGAACCTTGCAGGACTCGTTCATTAGGAATGTGATGGGGTAATAGGGTGTGCTAAGCGGTTGAGTCACTGCTGAGAGGTGGGAACAGGGTATGCTGAGCAGGCTGAGATTTCAGTGCTTCCACTGTGCGGTTTGAGGATGAATTGCTCCACGTTGCCTGCAGTTACATAAATAGCTGTATTGATGGGCTTTCAGTTTGACATCATGTTGAGATGCTTTTAAAATCATTTAGAATTCACTGACAGGTAAATTTTTCCTGCAATTGGTTGCCTTCTAAGCTGCATTTGACCTGCTCTTGAGAAAATGCAAATCCTGTTTGAAGGGAACAAAAGCCCATCAACATAAGTCCTCCAAGTTTATTTACTACTTGCTAACGATATGTAAATATTTGAATGTCCATTACCTATCCACAGTTGCAATTTAAGTCACAATTAGAACTTTGTCTCACTACTGGTGCCTCAGGTAGTCCTTACAACATGACAGCCATTATAGTAATTTGAAAAAGAAACTATAGTGTATTTTCAGAGAGAGAGTCTGACTTATTGTTATCCGTTTTGACATGACATTTCTATTTTTACTTGCTTTCTGTCTTATAATTAGAGTATTGCTTTTCTTTATACCTCAGTCTGTGGTCATCTGTTTAACGGGGAATATGATTAGCATTTCTTGTGGAATAACTGTTAAAGTAAGCTCAGTTAGACATATGGAGAATCTAATATTGTTAATCAGGTTGAATATGACCCATTTTAACATAGTCACTGTCACAGAGCAAGCCAGCAGGAAGGAGCGTCTGAATATGTAATGAACTAATATGGCTTCCTTAATACAGATACTGTATTTACTATATACTTTACATTATACAGTGAAACATAGGTTTTTTCATATTATTTTTACACTAAACTGATCACATTCAGATTTATACATATATTATATATATCATATCAAACACCAAACATCGAAATGCTTTTTTATTTTATAACATTTATTTGTTTTGCTCTAAAATCCATATATAGTGCTGTATTTGACTTGAAGTTGCAATAATACGACAAAAGAATTCCTGACCTTTTAAAGGTGTCTAAAAAAATTAGATGTTAGTCTCCTGATGGAAAGACCAAACAGTGTTCTAATGTGTATGAGATGCACATAGACACCACCATCTGAGATTTCGTGAGAATAGTGGCAGTTAGAAATATTACAACATTTTCTGATGCTTTCTGCCTGATAAGCCAGCACATATCTTCTCTCCATAGGCCAAGTATGAATAATCACCCAATGTAACTGTTCATGTTTAGGGACACATCTACAGACACAGACACATTTTTTATAGGCTTTAATTAGAAAAATATGTGACTCTTGTGTGAAAGGTGTGTGAATCTTGTGTAAAAAGATGTATAAATAGGCCTTGTTTAAAAATCCCAGTGAATTGTTGTTTAGTGTTTACTTTTATTGTTTTCTATTTTACTGCATACAGTATAGGTCTGTGTGATGGTCAGAGAAAATCTTTTTCTAAGGGCACTATTTCTAAAGCCATGCATAGTCTTACTGCTTTGGGAAGTCAGAAAGAGAGCTTGGTCACGTGATCTGTTAAAGTCATGTGACTGACCCAGGGGCGGACTGACCATTTGAGCACTTGGGCACTGCTCGAGGGCCTGGGGTCAGTAGTGGGCCCCATAAGATGCCCCTGGTACCTTTTTATAGGCTTTTTTTGGGTCTGGGCAAGGACACAGGGGTCCCATGATCCCCTATTGCCTGGGGGCCCCATGAGTTGTCAGTCCGCCCTTGGACTGACCCCTGCTTCAATCACAGCATATCCTCTGTTGCAATAAGCAAAGAAAACTCTGCAACATTCCCCAAGCTTTGCAGCCTTGCATTTTATGAATGCAGGCCAAAGTGTGGAAAAACACTGAAGTATATAGTTCTTCACAGTAAATGTTTGTCAAGTTGGTCAATTTTGAAAGTAGTTCTTAATGGAAAAAGTTTTTTTTTTTTACCCTAATGTATTCTCTGCATTAAGATAAAAAATCTTGCAATGTGTGCCTCCCATTCCTCCATAAACTACATAAACTCTTGCCTGACACCACTCTTGATCCAGCACTGTGCCTGCTGGCAGCCCCACTCTGCTCTCTTCCTGGATTCAAGAGCTTTATGTTGAGAGCCATTTGCTCCTTCTGCTGCTAGGCAAAACCTGTGAGGAGGGAGTGGGGGGAAAGGCCAAGCCATGCTGTGTGTTTCTATGGATGCACACAGCATGGCTTGGAAGCACCCACAAGGGTTGCTATGAGCCTACTCAGCGAAGAGGATTACCAGACAGTACCAGAGGGGGACCCTAGAAAAGGAGGTTTGGAGGCTATTCTGTGCAATTCCATTGTACAGAGCGGGTATTGTAAATATACTACGTTTATTATTTAAAATCACCTAAATGGGATTTATCTTCTTCTTTATCACATTGATGAATCATTCCTCTAGGGTAAATCATTTAAATTTCACCATGCAATTTGCATGATTCATTGTTGCAATCTGTTTTAACAGGTTTGGATTTACATATCTTTATTATTTTTAATAAACTGATGTCCATTTAACTTGAAATAAAAACATACTTAAATTTATATAATATAGTCTGTGTAAACAAATGTAATTACATCGCTGTCTGTGTCCCCACTGTCTATATATTCCCTATTGTTGTCCCAGTGACACAGAGGAAGTGAGGAAATCTCCCCTCAAGGAACAGACAGGTTAAAAAAAAAACCTTCACCATTCTAATACATTTTTTTTAATTGTTGTCTGTGGCTTTTTGGAGAGATGTCCCATATGTCCTTGTTACACAACATGAATTTGATGATTTTGCACAATAAGGGTATATACAAAAATAAAAATGTAATAGTGGTTTGAATACATCTTTAATTTCATTTAACCAGACTTTTACCACTCATTCAAGTGACTTCCTTAAAAAAAACTTCACCTTAAAAGAGAAGTTCCACTTTAACACCTCTTTACCCCCCTCCTCTCTTTTTTGTTTGTTTTTTTTGGGGGGAGGGGGGAACAGGTACCCACTCTTCTGCTCCAATTGCCTAGGTGATTGGAGTGGAGGTTCTTTTCCCCCCGGCTGCAACCTTATGGGACAAGTCACTGGTACAAGGAGGCTATGGGGCCATTCATACAGAGCAGAGTAGCTCACATATATGCAGTGGGAAGCTGGATGTGAATCTGCAAGGAGTCACAGCTGGCTTCCCCTAGAAAACATGCCAGCACAGGGGGACCCGAAGACTGGAGAATAACTGGCCAGGGTGGGGACAGCACTGGATCCCTGAACAGGTAAGCATCCTTTTATAAATGTCATCAGCTACAAATACTAATGTTTAATTTTTTTAAAGACTGAAGTTTCTTTAAGTAATGCTGAATGTCAGTAACATGCCCCAGCATTTATAGCTATGTGGGCAACTCATCTTAATAAAATAAGCAACTTGTTATGAATGCGTCAAGGCAGATGCTGACTGTATGTACAGTTGTGTCCAAAATTATTCAACCCCCAATGCTGTAAAGGGGTTTAGGGACTATAGTGTACATTTGGAATTGTATTCAGAATCAAATCCTACAAGGACGTTGTAACTACCCAAATGCAACTAAAATGACATCAATTGTTTATGTAATACAGTAGTAAATGGTTCTTATGTGGTTTCTTCATTGCCACAATTATTCAACCCCTTAAAGACTACCACTCTGAAGAACAGAGGTTCATACAGGTGCTTTCCATCAGGTATTGAAAACACCTGTGGATGTCACCCGAGCAGCAATCAAGCATAATAAGCACCAATTAGGCAGCTTTAAAATGACTGTGATACTCAGCTCCTTCTAGACATTTACTGGTGTGGTTACAAACATGGTGAAGGCAAGAGAATGGTCCAGGAAGACAAGAGAAGAGGTGATTTCTCTTCACAGGAAGGGCAATGGCTATAAGAAGATTGCAAAGATGTTAAACATACCAAGAGACACCTTAGGAAGCATCATTCGCAAATTCAAGGCAAAGGGCACTGTTGAAACGCTACCTGGTCGTGGCAGAAAGAAGATGCTGACTTCGACTGCTGTGCGCTACCTGAAGCGTAGAGTGGAGAGAAGTCCCCGTGTGACTGCTGAGGAACTGAGAAAAGATTTGTCAGATGTGGGTACAGAAGTTTCAGCCCAGACAATAAGACGCACACTGCGTAATGAAGGCCTCCGTGCCAGAACTCCCCCAGCGTACCCCCTTGCTGTCTCCAAAGAATAAGAAGAGTCGACTGCAGTATGCCAAAAGCCATGTGGACAAACCACAAAAGTTGTGGGATAGTGTTCTGTGGACTGATGAAACAAAATTAGAACTGTTTGGGCCCATGGATCAACGCTATGTTTGGAGGAGGAAGAACAAGGCCTATGATGAAAAGAACACCTTGCCTACTGTGAAGCATGGTGGAGGGTCAATCATGCTTTGGGGCTGTTTTGCTTCTGCAGGTACAGGGAAGCTTCAGCGTGTGCAAGGTACCATGAATTCTCTTCAGTACCAGGAGATATTGGATGGAAACGTGATGCAGTCCGTCACACACCTGAGGCTTGGGGAGACGTTGGACCTTTCAACAGGACAATGATCCCAAGCATACCTCCAAGTCCACTAGAGCATGGTTGCAGAGGAAAGGCTGGAACATTTTGGAGTGGCCATCGCAGTCACCAGACTTAAATCCGATTGAGAACCTCTGGTGGGACTTAAAGAAAAGCAGTTGCAGTGCGCAAGCCTAAGAATGTGACTGAACTGGAGGCCTTTGCCCATGAAGAATGGGCGAAGATACCCGTAGATCGCTGCAAGACACTTGTGTCAAGCTATGCTTCACGTTTAAAAGCTGTTATAACTGTAAAAGGATGCTGTACTAAGTACTAAGATTGAATGTCACTTGGGGGTTGAATAAAACTGATAATGCTGTGAGCACAGAAAAGACATTTGTGGTTATTTCATTATAACTGTTATGTTATATTTGTCTGACCTACAAGTGCCTCTTTAATGTAAATGTAAGCAAGATGACTGAATGATCAAAAGCAATGTCAAACTGGCCAAAACACTCAATTTCAGTGGGGGTTGAATAATTTTGGCCACAACTGTATGTACATGGTAAGAACATGGTGGCTTAACAAATGTCCACATGTCCTGTTTTTGGAAAATCAAAATCTGCCCAGAAACATTTCAAGGCACAGTGGGTATCAGATTAAGGTAATTGAATTGCGAGAGTTGCTAATAATTGCTAATAATGATGGGGTATGTTCCTGACACTCATCAGATCTAAGTAAGCCATTTGGATATGTAGTGAAGCATCTTCCCATTTACCCATTTGTACCTTATGGTGTAGCACCAAGTGAGGATACGCTGTCCCACTGGTACTCAGGAGTAGGGATGATAGCACATGATATCACTCATCCAGTAGTGTAAACAATTAAAGCAGGAAAGCCACCACTCGCCCAACCTGATCATAGTTGTTGTACAGTATGTATATATGGCAGCCTCAGCCATCACTGCTCCACAGACCACACCCCCTGAGGCATTTTACCCCACCCATCTGGGCTTAGTCATAGAGCTCCTCTATGATTAAGTCCAATGGGCGGGGTGAAATGTGGATTTTTTTTTTGTAATTTCTGGAATTGGGCCTTAACTATTTTTTTTTTTTACTTAAGTTAAAATAAGAAACTATGAAATATTACTTAGAAGAGCAAATAACCAGCCTTATTGTAAATAGCCCTTCCATATCTACTACAATTAGATAATTTGTACATGATTGTGAGGAAATTGAATACTGTCAAAGTGGAAAGCATCCTTTATTCCATGGGATAATTGTTCTAGAGTGACAGATTGTCCAGTTAGCAAAGTAATGGTCACTTAGCTTAGTGAATAAAAATATAAAGCTGATTTAACAATTTACATAGATAGAGTTGTACTTAATGTACTAAGATGGCATCTATAGGACAGTACTAGAGAGCACCACACAATTATAAAGCAGCGAGGTGTGCTCTACAAATGTACATTGTGCTCTACTTACTTCAGGAAATCAAAGCACATGAAATGCATCAAAACGGACTGATGGAAAAAAATGGAGGTGAATGCTGTCACCTGACCTGTCAAAGCTTACAACATGGAGTAACACTGTGAAGTAAGGCAAAAAAGTGTATAGTGGTATCCAGGGGCGGACTGACCATTTGGAAACTAGGGCACTGTCCGAGAGCTTGGGTCAGTAGGGGGCCCCATGAGATGCCCCTGGTACTTTTTTCATAGGCTTTTTTGAGTTTGGGCAAGGACACAGGGGCCCCATGATCCCCTATTGCCCGGGGGCCCCATGAGTTGTCAGTCCACCCCTGGTGGTATCAGCTCTCTGCTATAAATAGGCCACTTAATTTAGGGAACATTCACTTCAAATAAACATCTTCTACTGTTTTAGCAAAAGAATGCATTTTAATAAGGCTCATTGAACACTTGTAACAGGATCTCTATATGTGCAAAGACAAGTCTTTCGCCTGCTGCCATGTCTTGCTCCCTCACACTGGCTTGATAAGTGAGGCATTGCTCTGTCAGCCAGTGACATTTCTGCAGTTTCCATTCAGGGAGAAGTAAGGCAGGGGAACTGGTAAGAATTTTGTCTACAATTTTTAGCAAATCTGTTGCTGCCAAGTTGCTGCCAGTGAGAGGTGTGCATGCCTACCATGGGCCTAAATTAAACCTCATTGCCTAGGAATAGTCCTGTAGAGAATCACAAAGCAGTGGAAGAACTAATCTAGCACCTGGCTCCAATGCTATACATGGATACAAAATTGTATGTCGACAAACAGTGCCAAACCACACTGAGGATATTACATTGCACATATTTAGTGAAATATTGGCAGAATCATGCAATACAGAAAGCGTATCATAATATGCATAATTTTACAGGTTACATGCAGTACTGAAAGCTTGCTGGATTTCTCTGTTCATCTTCTGGATGATAAATCTATCAGTGTACGTAATTCTGTTATGTGCTCTTTCATTATTATTGAAGAGCTTACTATATTGAAATATTGACGTTTCTGTGCTTTCCCCTATGGAAGGTGAGGATTCATTGGTGACAGCAGTAGATCCAAGCAAAGACTAAAGAGATCAAATTGTCTTACTGGTAGAATTTCAAATAGGACTCTGCCCACATTATTTTGCCAAAACTATTGTCATTAAAAGACCACTGTAAAAATGTATGTAAAGCTAAAACTTTTGTGTGGTTTAGATAAAGTACGGAGTTAGCATCCCTGTCAGGTTCTTATTGCTGTCTGTACCCCCCACTGGGTATATTTACCCTTTTTTAATTAACCTGCTAACCTTTGTCTCAATAGGGTTACCTATTCTGGTGACAACTGCCTAAGAGTAACCATACATGTTTGGTCTGACCGTACAGTCTTTGTATAACCAGATTAACCATAACTATGTAATATGAGGACCTACCTAGATCTAATGACTATTGTACAACCAGACTGTAGCATGGGTGGTGAGCTTTAGAGCAGATGCTCCCTTATTTTAAAGAGATCTTCTTATACTTCCTGCTATGTCTGGGAAGGAATGAAGGGGAATCCCCCCAAAAGTACACAAAAAATCCAGGGTCTTAATCATTGCTTATTCTATCCCAAACTAGAAATAAAACTGGCTTTCCTGTATACGTGTAAAATACTCATATGGATTGTCCAGCAAAGATGACAGGGGTTTGTAATACTTAACCCTTTCCCTGCCTGAAACCACAAAACCTAAAAATGTAGTCCCTAAAATAGAGTCATCAGTCAATTCAAGCCACAAATATTTTAAAGTTTTAGTTGGAGTGAGGTTTTTTCTTCCTGCCTGTGAATCAGTTGTAGAGGTTTTCCGTTACTTCCGGATCCTGTCATCATTAGTGGTTCACAATGCACTGAAAACAAGAAAGACACTGTCAAAAGTTCTAACCCTTCCCCATTTAAAAAAATGTGGTTGTGTGTTTGCCTGTGTCCTCATTGGAAAGATTTCCCTTTCCTTTCTATCCTGAGAAAAAGTGAGGGAAGGAACTGCTCCAAAAAATAAAGAAACACTTTTTAATCAGAGTATAGCATCAATTCAATTATACTCCTGAGATATTGATCTGGTCAGTTAAGTAGCAGAGGGGGTTGTTAATCAATTTCAGCTGCTTTGGTGTTAATGAAATTAACAACAGGTGTGCTAGATGGCCAACACTGAGATGATCCCCAAAACAGGTGGAGGCCACTGACATTTTTTTCCCTACTCATCTTTTCTGACTGGTTTTCACTAGTTTTGCATTTGGCTAGGATCAGTGTCACTACTGATAGCATGAGGTGATATGTGGACCCTAAAGAGGTTGCACAGACAGTCCAACTCCTCCAGGATGGCACATCAATATGTTCCATTGCCAGAAGGCTTACTGTGTCTCCAGCACAGTCTCGAGAGCATGGAGGAGATTCCAGGAGACAGGCAGTAACTCTAGGAAAGCTGGATAGGGCCGTAGAAGGTCCTTAACCCATCAACAGACCCAGTATCTGCTCTATGTGCCCTTGCAGGATGAGCACTGCCAGAGTCCTTCAAAATGACCACGAACAGGTCACTGGTGTGAATGTCTCTGACCAAACAATCAGAAACAGAATTCACCAGGCTGGCCTGAGGATCCATTATCCTCTAGTGGGCCATGTGCTCACTACCTGGCACCACAGAGCTCAATTGGCATTTGTCATTGAACACCAGAATTGGCAAGTCCACCACTGGCACCTTGTGCTTTTCACAGATGAGAGCAGGTGCACCCTGAGCACAGACGTGCTGTGACAGACGTGGAAGGGTCTGGAGAAGCCATGGAGAAGGTTATGCTGTCTGTAACATCGTTCAGCATGACCATTTTGGTGGTGGGTCAGTGATGGTCTGGGGAGGCATATCCATGGAGGGCTGCACAGACCTCTACAGGCTAGACAATGGCACCCTGACTGCCATTAGGTATTGGGATGAAATCCTTGGACCCATTGTCAGACACTATGCTTGTGCAGTGGGTCCTGGGTTCATCCTGGTGCACGACAATGCCCGAGCTCATGTGGCAAGTGTATGCAGGCAGTTTCTGGAGGATGAAGGAATTGATATCATTGAATGGCCCCCATGCTTCCCTGACCTAAATCCAAAAGAACACCTCTGGGATATCATGTTTCAGTCCATCCAACGCTGCCAGGTTGCACCTCAGACTGTCCAGGAACCCAGATATGGGAGGAAATACCCCAGAACACCATCCGTCATCTCATTAGGAGCATGCCCCGACATTGGCACGTGGGGGCCATACAAGCTACCGAGTATCATTTTGAGTTGCTGCAATGGAATTTCAGCAAAATGAACTAGCCTGCTGCATCATTTGTTCACTTTGATTTTTGGGGTGTCTCTGAATTCAGTCCGCTGTAAGTTGATAATTTTCATTTCCATCAAATGATGGGGCATCCTTATGCTCCTAACACATTACCCAGTCCATATCAGTATAAATATCCAGCATTATATTTTTCCCCATTGAGATCTGATGTGTTTTCAAAGTGTTCCTTTAATTTTTTTGAGCAGTGTATTTACTGTACCTTCACTGTGCACTGGTTTTGCACAGATCAGCCTGATCCCTGATCCTCTTCTTCCTGGGTCCCCGGATGGTGGTCCTCTCCCCTCCTGCCAAGGGGCCCTCAAGCATGATCACTCCCATGCTGATGCTTTGCATGTGCATTTACACACGGAGTCATGGCTCAGTCCCACCCCACCCCCTCTCTCTTCTCGTTGGCTCACTGGCTTGATTGACAGTTGAAGCCAATGTCTCCCACTGCTGTCTCAGCTAATTAGGGAGCATTCTCAGAGGGCTGAGGCTCTTGAACACATTGCTGAATCTCAATGAGGCTCAGGTAAGTATTAGTGGGGACTGGGGGGGGGGGCTTCTGCATACAGAAAGATTTTTACCTTCATGCATAGAAAGCATGAAGGTAAAAAAAACTTGAGCCCTTACAACCAAGTTTAAAGACACAAATGACAATAAAAACACTTCAAAATAATAAGTTTTGCTTCTCAACTCCTATTGGGATTTAGCAATTGACAGGACCTAACACAAAACGACAAAAAAAACCCCAAATGCTTTACTAATTACTTTGTTATCCTTAATAGCATATGCACTGTTTTAGTTCAGATATAGATCTTACTTCTGGACTATGCCAGCTACCCTTTCCCTGTACTATCATAGCTGACTTTCTGGCACTCTCATTGAAAAGGTTAGATGGAAGCTGGGTAGGGCTTAGTCTGTATGCTAGGGAACTTAAACCCAAGAAGCAAAACAGTCAAAGAGGACGTCTAAGGAGGTTTTTCTGGATGGTAATGGTGCCAGAAGAAGGCATCCTGTAATATCTGCTTTTGAACTGGATATATTAAAGCTGAATTCCAGGAATTCAGCCCCTTTGTAAAAAGTGAAGGCACGCTATGAGTTAAGTCAAACGAGGTGCATGCCACCCCCCTGGGCTTATCTTTATAATTTACATCTGCAAAGTTTATGACACTGCCAAGGATACACTGTGGGCTGAGAGAGGAGAGAAGAACACAGCACAACTATACCCACCACTCCCCTCTGCTACCCATTCACAGAAGCCTTTGTATTTCATAAATTATTCCATATAATACAATGACTTATTATTGGGCAGGAGGAGGGAATGGGTTTTCATAGCAGCGGAAGTGACTCTACTGTTAAAGGAGAGCATTGGGTTCCTGTAAGTACAGCAATAGCCATCTTCTAGAAGTTCTAGAAACCTGTCAGATGTGTGCCTTCACTTTTACAAAGGAGATACATTTCTGGAGTTCAGATGTTAAAAGCTAGGCTCACCTGTATTTACACCTGTATTTAGGATGTAACATGTTCAAATTCCTCCCCTCTCCCCCTTATCTCCCCTTCCCTGTGACAGTAGATAGGGGATCATCTTTCGCAACCACTGCCACAATTTGAAAACAAGGCAGCCGTGCAGGATTCTGTGAATGGATGAACTCAAACTACCGTCTGCCAGAGCCAGTTATCTGGGTGGATACCAACAATATGGAAAGGATCCTTCCAGAGCCTAGAGTGGATCTGTGACATCTCCTATTTACTGTTTTCTTTTGAGGGGAGAGCTTTGTAAGCATTTTTTACATGGCATGGTCACCTTAAAACAAGCCGTCAGTTACCTCTGTAGCTTTAGCTATTTCCAAAGTTTGTAATGTTTGCAGCCCTGTTATGCTAATCTGCTCTTTAAGGCTCCTTCTGCCAGCAGTGACTTGGCAGCCTGTCAGCCTACAAATATCTAATGCAAACACATAGCAGATGTACATGTAGAGTGGAGAAAATATAGTGGCAAGTGGTTTAGAACAACTTAAAACTTTGAGTTATTTACTGCTTGTT